AGCCAAATATATTTATATTGAACATATTTGATTATATATTTTATACAATACATGTATAATTATTAAAATTAATTACATTAATATTAAATAACGAAATATAATGTAAATAAATATATGAGAAAACATTAAAAAAGGATAATGGGAAGTAGGTTTTGTTATAAAAACAAAATTTGTTATAAAAACAAAATTTGTTATACTTGCTCCTAATCGAGTAATTATATTCATCTGCCTTAGTAATTTCATATTTTCTTTGTCGAGTTGTAGTATTCGATTCTTCTCATTTCTCATAATATACGGTTTATAATATGCAGATACTTCAAATTTTGGAGGCTTATTATCGACTAAAGCTTTAGTTTTAGTAATCCTTCGTTTATATTTTCTATACGTCTTTTTATCCATAGTTTTTTATCTTTACTTTTTGTCGTATTATTTTATTATAATTTATTTAATACATGAATATATTATTATTATATTTGAAAGATTTAAGTTTGTCAGAACATATACTATATGATTATGAGTATATACTATGTGATTTAAAAAATGTATAAAAAATTGTTGCTTCGCTCTATTTTAAATTATTTGTATTATTATTAAACGTTGCCGTAATATAATATCTTTTTTTCAAATTAAATCAACAAAAGAGGTTAAAATTTAAAATAAAATTAATTAATCAATTGATGCTTCAAACTGTTTGATTATAATGTTACAATATCGCAAAATTCAAATATTTTCATATTGTAAAATTATAATTTTCAATTTATGTGTCACATTAAATACTTATTAATTTAATTTTTAAAAAATATTTTGTATTGCTGAAACTATTTGCTAGTAATTTACACTATCGATATTAGACAAATGAAACTTCTTGTAGAAATCGAATTTCTTCGTGAATAATATAGATTTTTATAATATACATAGTTATGTTTACTCAATGAATATTAAATGTAATTTTTTTTGATATTAAAATATATATCACGTTATATATAAAATATATGAAATATATTAAATGTAATGTATATTGAAAGTGCCAATGTTAAAGCATGAATATTCTATGTGTCATTATTTCGTAAAACTTTATTTAAACAATAAAATAATATTTTATATTAATATAATAATATAGACATAGATGGAAGCATTTATCATTATCACAGTGTTTCTCAATAGCTGCTTTTAAGATATTTTAACATTCAATAAATACTTTAATCAAAAGGAATTATTTATCAATAGTACAGTAACATAGAATTGTAAAATATCTGTATAAAATGAATATTGCTTGATATACGTATCTTTTAAAACCTCTACAAATTTTATGTTTGTTTACCTAAATATAATGCATATTTTATTATTCGTGCCTTGTTGAGTTTCTTTCGCCAAATTCTATTCATCAAGTAGTAGATTGATAATGATTGATAAAAAATAATTTCTAGTTTATTATATTATTTTTGCGGGTAAATTTTTTTAAGTAAATATCCACGAAATTGAAGTGAAAATGGCCAACATTTCAAACTCTATAAAAGATGAATCTCTAACTAACTCACAAGGTTAGATTATCTTTTTTTATATGTACATACTTGCATAAATTTCCGTTTGTAATAAAATATTTGTTTTTTCATCCTTAAAATTAAATTTGCTTTTCATTACTGTCTTATTCAATCTAGTTTTGTATATTTACTATCTTATATTTAAGATGAAATATATATATATCAATTATTTTTGATGTCATAATAAGCAAAATAATAATAATTTTCTAGTATAATAGTAATATTATCATGTAAAAGTAATAAAATATTTGTTTGTTTTGTTTTTTTAATAATTATTGTAGCTGAATACATAAGGAAAATGTGAATAGAAATACTTATTAATATCATATTGTTAGTACTAAGAGTCTTTATTTTTATATTATAAATTAATGATATAAATTAATTAATATTTTAGATACGCAAGTTATGGGCTGGATTAAACGTACGCAAGGTGATGGAATGGAAAACGTGACAGCTGAGAAAAATGAAATTAAACAGACAAAATACCGCCTTGGTGAAACATTGATTTATCATCCAACAAATTTAAAACAATTGAGTTCAATTCCACCAGTTATGCCAAATGGTCCAATAGTAAATTTAATACCAAGACATGTTACTAGTGTAAAAGATGAAAAACATATTTTGAATTCTTTGAAATCAAAAGAACCAAAGTTTATTCCTTATGAACCTTATAAAGCTGCAGTCAATCCTATCATTCCATATGAAAAGAAGAATAAAAAATCACAAAAAGGTAATGTAAATGTAAATATGACTGTCTCTCAAGTTGCTGCGATGAAACTTCACGAAACAAAGGTATCTAATGATTTGAAGACAATAGAGGAAGATAAGTCTGTAGAAAGTGAATGGTTAAAAGAAAAGAAAGCATATGAAGCAGAAATACAAAAACTTAAAGAAGAAAATAGTCAACTTGAAAATCAATTGAAATTTCAAGCGCAGGTTATTACTAAATTGATTTAATTAATTCTTGCATGTTGTTTAAAGACAATAGAAATATTAATTATTGTAAAAAGTAAAATATTTTCATATTCTTTAAAATTATCATATAGTTGTGTTATATTTGTTATATATATTAAACAATAGTATTTAATACTATTAAATACTAATATTAACAACATTTATGATTTTCTTTTTGTTATAATAGGTTAATGGAGAATTAAAAAACTTATTAGTGGCTGCTGTTGGAGAAGATCTTGAAACAAAAGTTCATTTATTGACTGAAGATAAATTACAACTTGCTCGAGCTCTTTTAAATTCTGCTCAACATTTATCAACCCATCAAGAACAAACAGAGTGGTTGGCAGGTCAATGTGAAGTATGGAGAAGTAAATTCTTAGCCAGTAGGTAAATAGAAATAGTTTGATACTAATGTTTATGATTTATTTATAATCATATCCACATAATGGACATAGATCTTAATAATTTTTGATAGTTTAATGGTGGAAGAACTTGCAAAATGGAAAGCAGCTCTTTGTCATAGAACTATAGATCTTCAGGAAGCAATAAAAAGACTTCTAGAGGATCGAAATCTTATACGAGACATATCTCTTAAAACATACAGGTATTCTTATAAATATTCACAAAAAATTTATTTTATTAATAAAGATATTTCTACAGAATATCTTAAATAAAAATATATGTATTCAACATATGTATTCAAATTATATATCATTTTTCTTTTAGAACACTCAGTATTTTACGTGAAAATTTTGATCCTGTTGGAACTGTTTCTTGTAAAAGACATGAATTACCAAGTACAAATATAATAGATTTAGCACAAGGCTGTTGTCAACTTGCAGAAATTCTAAAAGTTCAATTATTAAGTGGTTTAGAAAATATTAATTTACAGAAGGAAATTAATGTAACTGGTTTAGATATGAAAACACTTGCTGAAAAGACTGCAGAACAAGTAAATGTTTATTTTATATTTAATTTATTTGGTTTCATATATAAATATTTCATATATAAATATTTCTTTGTTTCATTTATATACAGCTTCTTATGAGTCCAAAATTGCTTATGTCAGGAAGACAAGATGTAGCTTGTAGTGCAGTGATGGGAGCAGCTGTTGCAATTGGTGGCCAAATATTTCTTCCACGAAGTGATTCAAATATAACTTGTTGTCCTCATTGTAGTGGAGAAATTAAACAAATTTAAAAAAATTTATATATTTCTATAAGTTACATATAGTGGAATTGTCATTATTCAATACTATACCTTTTTAAAGTCTGTTCAGAAATTTTATATGTCCTATATTATTTTTCTATATTTAGAATTATTAGTTTATTTATAATAACATTAAATGACAATAAAAAGATAATCACTTAATGCCAATATATAATATATAATTTTTTATACACAAAAAAAGAAAAATTAATAATTTTAATATAACTTTTTACAATATGAAATTTTATATAAAATAAAATTTACACAATGAAATACCTTGAAACATGGTCTTTCACATTCAAAATACTTAAGTTTGTACAAGATAATGATCTATCAAATTAATCTCTTTTTAATTTTTATGTAACATAAACTTTTTAGATTAATTATGATATCAAGACAAAAAAAATTATATAATAAAAATATTTTTCTTATTTTATGATTTTTATCATTTATCGACTTTTATCAGAATATTAAACTAAATATAGATAAAAATCATTAAAATATAATTAGCTTATTTAGCTCAATAATAACTAAATCAATAATTAAATCAATTTAGTTATTCTCATTAAAATTATTGTGTAATTCATTCTTAAATAATACGTACATATATTAAACTGTGTTACGTTTTAATAACATAAGATCATTATTAAAAAGACAAAATATTATAAATGAATTTAATTTAATCAGCGTATGTTATATTTGAATATGTTGGTAGTATAAGTTTCTGCGTTATTTAACTAAGAGCTGCGAAAATCTAGATTTAGTCGACGCTTAGCAGTCGTAGGTGTAACATGTCAGTTCTTGTCAATGCCGACTTTGCACAAGCGCGAACAGTTTGTAATGAAATAATTACGGCTAGTTTTGTATTGTTCATTGTTATTTTTATTTATATTGTTATTTATTAATCTTTTCCGAGATTAATCTAATCCATTGTTATTTATTAATCTTTTCCGAGATTTTATTGAAAATTCGAAAAAAATTAACGCTATAAATGATCGCGACAGTTAAAAAAAATGCGCGCATAAGATTAAACTCATTAATTCCTCTTTTATCTTCTTTGAATCTCTTATTAGGAAGTTCGATTTAAAAAATCGTTTCTTTCTAATTCGAAGAGAAAATAACATGAGTGAAAATCATAATATGTAATTTGTAAATAATACATTTTTAATTTTACTATTTTTAATTGTTGATGCAAATTCTATTTGTTTGAACATGTGTTATATTTATCTAAAGAAAGAACCGATGAATCTTCATGAAATATACTTTCAACAAATAGATAATTTTGGAACTCCTTTAAAATATTCCGTATTCTATATTCTATATTCTATATATACTTATAAATCCTATGTTACAATTAAATTATAAAAATAAAAATTCTTAAAATAAAAAAAATATTGAAAAATAAAATAAAATGTAATGACTAAAAAATAAATATTTGACAAGTGCGAAGAAATTTTCTGTTAAATCGGCGAGAGGGAGAAGATACTGGACGAGTTATTTATGCGATCTATTTTCACACAAGTTGTGTTACCTTAGTGGTCTAAAAATATCAGTGAAATTTGATTAGGCACAATTTGATGCTATAGTATTACCTATTCGAATATATACGTATCTCTATTTTAATATAAATTTTCTTTGGAATTTTAAATTACGACTTCTTATGATTACTACACTAATATTATAAAAGCAATTGCTTCGCTAATAAAGATACAAGTAATTGAAAATTAAATTTTGTAAATTTTGTGACATTGAACACGATGAAATAATTAAAAGTGAAAAAAGAGAAAAAGAAAAATAATCTCAAGTGATAGGAAAGTTTTTTTTTTCATTGAATTAAAGCTTAATATAGTACGACATTAATTTTTATAAAAATAAATTTAGTTGTGAAATAAGTAACTACACAAAATCACAAATTCTATTTCAAATAATATACTTAAATAATATATATTTAATAATAATATATCTAAATGAATATATATCTAATATAATTAATATTCTTGTAATAAAATCAAACATTTAATCATATAAAAATAAAATTGATACTAACTTTTTGGAATTCCATTAGAAAGCTTAAAGAAACAATATTTTTGAATTTATGTTGATATTTCGTGATGGACAATAGACCAGTTAGTTTATTTTTAAAAAAATTTGAAGAAAACGCAAGAAAAATATTTTCATTCTTGCCTGAAAATAATGGAGATAATCGTTCACCTAAAGAAAATACTCCGGTTAAAATTAAAGAAGAAGAAACTAGTGATGAAATTCAGGTAAAGTATTTACATTACATTACCTTTTATTTTATTTACTATATTTTCGTTTATCATTTACGATTTACCATTAACAAATTTTACGAGAGTAAAAAAAATTTTTTATATTTCATAAGAAAAGGACAAATGTACGAAAAAGATTTTTTCATTGAACTGAGTTTAAAATTAATATATTTTATTATTAAATCAATTATATATTAATTTATAATTATTACAATACTCTGTTTTAATAATTATTACATTGTTTTTATTATAATGTATAAGTTTGTGATAATTATTTTTATTAATTTTTAGTTGTAACAAAATACTAAATTTTATGTAGATAGAATGTATAAACATAAAATGTATTATAAAATTAAAATATAGACATAAATATAAAAATTTGACCAATTTAAAAACGTAAAATTATGTTTTTAATACAAAATTATTGATAAGATATATTTTGACTATTGATAAAATAAAATCACGAAATTATTTTTAATTTTAGAATTATCTTAATTTATTTCTTATTTTGATTTTTCAATTATATTATTATGATAATCTTGTATAAAAATTACGAAGAAATGACTATATTTTAGCTAATGTAAATAGGTAAGCAATATGTATTGTTCGAGAAATACTTAATTTTTGCTGATTACTGTCACGTGATTTGGAAGTTAAATGTCAAAATATATTATATTATATTTTATATCTTACTTTTATATAATTATTTTTTTCATTATTAAAATAATATCATATTAATACTAAATGATTATTTATGATAACTATTATAAATAGTTTTTAATTTAAAATGAGATATAATTAATTCTTTCACGTGGACAAACAAAATTTCAGAGAATAAATAAAATAATTACATTAACAGTAAACATTAAGATAATGTTAGTTCATTAGTATTTTAAAAGTCCATGCACATACAAGTAACTTGAGAACAACATAATCCATATACATGCCTACTATTAAAATGTAACACAATCCATTGATCCGTATTCCATTATAATTAACACGAATATCCAATTTCATTCATTATAATTTCTTTGTTCTGGAATTAATATGCTTGAAAATTACTTATTTTTTACTTAAAAATCATAATTCATGTACAATTTATTTATTTATTTGATATTGGAATAACCATTTTCACAAAACATTGGAATAACCATTTTCACAAAATTTATTTGCTAGCAAATTAAAATCATTAATTTCGATCATTTTTTTATATTAGAATTAATATACATTCGTTTCTAGTTCCTAGTAATGAAAGTATACTATATATATATTTTTAAATATAAAAAAAAATTAATGTGTTTTATATAAATATATATCTATACATATATATTTTTTAATGTATCTATTTGTATATGAAATATGAAAAATCATAATAATAATTAACTAAAATTGTTTTTATATTTAAACAATATTGAAATATTACATTTTATATATTATTACAGGAATATGCAGCAACTGCAATGAGTGAGTTATTAGGATGGTATGGCTATGATAAAGTGGATAATGGTTGTACAAAAAGTTTAAACCTGGATCATTTTACATCTATTTCTGATACAAATATAAAAAATCAAGCACTTCAAATTAATCAAGATATTGTTTCAAGGCAACTAACATTAAAACCTCCAGCAATGAATACATCTAATTCAGCTTGTGAAGTTTCTAATATACCATTGTCTTATTCCAATAATAATTTAATGTCTATGAATAGACAACTCATATCTCCCTTACCATTAAAATCAGTATCTTTTGGTACTACATCTACATTTCCATATAAAACTTATCCAAATTCTATTTATTCAGGTAAAGTATAAAATATATATTACATTTATATTTATATAATTAAAATACATTTATATACAAATATAAATTATTTAATTTGAATTAATCTTTATTGAATTTTTTTGAATATTTTTGAATTAATAATTATTTAATTTGAATTTGTTATAATTTTTAATACTTTTATAGATAATATATCTTGTTCTTGGTGTGGTAAAATTATTCAAACACTTGACTCAGAAAGATTTCTTTCTTATAATACGATGAATGCTTTGGGATACTTTTGTAGTGAAGCCTGTTTTGCAGCTGGTCGAAGAGCAGTTTTTAAACAAACAAAAACATGTGATTGGTGCAGACTTATACGAAATCCAATTAGTCATGTTGATCTTCAAGTATGTGAATTGAATACAGCATACTAAGTAATTTATTTTTAAGAAATTTATTTTTATTATTATTAATTATTACAAATTACTAATTGTATTCTTCTTTTCAGGATGGTGGAAATCAACTTCAATTTTGTAGTAATAAATGTTTAAATCAATACAAAATCAATATTTTCTGTCATGAAACACAAACTCATTTAATGCTTCAAGGTTTAAATAATGTTTCTTTTAATGATACAGAAAAAAGTTGTTTAATAACACCAGAATTATGGTTTCGAAGTTGTCAGTCACCATTAAATAATCCTGCAGAAAATACGTATTTAGTTGATACACACTTAACTCATAATTTATCATCACCTCTTTGTGATAACAGATCAATAGAAATTGATAGCGAAATATCAGTAGAACTTCATCAAAAAGAATCTAGAAAAAAGGATTCAGTATACTTAAAAAAATGTACAAAATCCAATAATTGCAATAACCACAAAAAAGATTTTTATACAGAGATTAACAAATGTGATAAAGAGCAAACTTTAGCAAATGAGAAAAGCAAATGCTGTCATTCCATAATTAATCAAACTAATTGTAAAATGAATTTAGAAAACAATGATTCCACAGAGGAGTATATGATGGATAATATAAATCATATTTCACATGAAAATAGCAATACATTTTTAGGAAGGAACGTACATGTAAAAAACATAAAAAATTTACAAGAGAGAGAACATGACAGTCCATCAGAAAATATGTTACAATCATCATCTTGGCTTGCAGATTCAACTAGATCTATAATGCATGATGAAATTCCATCTTTATCTAAGTCTTACATAAATGAATCTAATCAAACAAAATGTCAGAATCAAACTAACATATTTTCATCAGCTAAACAATCCAATCCAATTCAATTATTTCATTCATTACCTACAACATTTTTGTCCCCCGTTACAGTTCTTGTACCATATCCTCTACCCATACCTATACCAATCCCTATACCTATTCCAATTCCTATATCAACAGCAATTTTTAATAAATTAATAACTGATAAAGGAGATTCCATAAATATAAAAGATTCAAAATATAAAAATGTGGAATGTAAAGATTCAACAAAAGATAAATATCCTATTTTTGATACATCGCAAATTAAAAAAATAAATATATCAACGACAGAAAACTTGCAGAAAGTAAAATTAGATAAGTTTTGTTTTTCATCATCATCTTTGAAAACTAATAATGAAATCGATGTTTCACATCAATCACAACAGAATAAAAAGCTTTTACGAAAAAGAAAACGCTCCAATAAAATCTTTAATCATGAACATGAAAAAATTCAGTTGAAAAAGAAAAATAATTTTATAGCAACTTGAAAGACAACTTATAAGAAGATATTTTTTAATGAGATGTATATAGAATATTTTTTATTTGTAATTAATAACTTTAAAAAGTAAAGTAAGTAAATATTAACAGACAAAAATGATCTTTTCACTAATTATAGTAATGCCACTAGATGTAATAGTAACTGAATAATAAGGAATTTTTTATTATTCATAGCTTCTATCAATAATTTACTTTAATGATTTAATTAGATAAAAACACTGTAAGAAAAAAGTAATTATTCTGCATTATAGTCCTCAAATATAATATATAATTTTTCAATTTCATTTCTTAGAATTTGATTGCATGTGTTTTAATATGTTTTAAATAATTTTTTGGAACTATTATTTTTGTTACAATAAAAGAAATTTATTTATAATTTGAATATATTTCAGAAAAATATTTTACAGTTGAGATATATATTTCTTATATTTTTTAGTTGAGATATACTATCTTTTTTATATCTTTGTACAATATTCATATAAATAAAAAATAAAAAAATTTACAATAAAAAAATTACATATTCAAATTATTGTAATATATGAGAAAAAAATAAACATTGTTTTTTTAACAAATATTTACGTTTTCCTTAGTATTAAGATTCATACCCATAAAAATATTTTTAATAAAAAGATGTGTATATATATATATATATATATATATATATGTATGTGTATATAATAAATATTACTATGTAAATAATTAAAATTAAATACAAAAATAATGTATACTATAATAATTATAGCTTTGTCCAAATAAATAAGCAATAACAAATAAGTAGTAATATAATTTATTAAATTTAAAAGAAACCTACCATATATGTTAAATGTGTATAGCATATACTGTAGTATATAGCATATTGTATATCTAGTACTACTTGTCATGTCTACTGTGATATCTAAAACATGAAATAAAAATATAGAAGAGATTTTGTGCTAAAGTGTATTGTATTTTAGAACATAATTAAACATGGTATCTTATCCATCAATTAATTTAGTAGATTCAATAATTGATGAGGTTGCATTGGAAGGATTAGATGGTATTACTATAGAAGGTTAGTATAAATATTAATTATAATAGGTTAGTATAGGTTATATAGGTTAGTATAAATGTTAATTATAGAAGGTTAGTATAAATATTTATTATAATATTGTATATATGTTATCTTTTTATTTTGCAAAAGTAGGAAAGTAGTAATATATTTATTAATTATATGTTTTTGTATTACTTATTATGTTTAATTTCCAAATTTTAATAAGTGTAATACGTTACTTTATATTATTCAAGTAATATATACTAAATCAGATAATTATACTAAAACAATATCATAGTTTTTAAATATTTATATTTTACTGTTAATTATAAATTTATGAAAATGTCTATGTATTTTGTAATAATCAAATAATCATAAAGAAGAATTTATTATCTATTCAATCTTCAATCAGATATTTCAAGTATTATTTATCATAAGTTTGCATTTATTTAATGTTTTTTGTACAAAATTTAAATTCTATTATCATTTTTTCAATATTAATGTACATCATTTGTAAAAGTTCTTATTTTTATATCAATAATTCTTTCTTATATCAATAATTCTTCATTTCAGCATTATGGTTACGTTTGGCTCACCGACTTCATAATCCTTTACCATTCTCAAAGCCATTTATGATTCAATTGTGGTCTATATGTGTACAGATTAGAGAATTTGCATTTTACAAATTGGAAACTACAAGAGAACCGCTTATAATTTTTGATCGCTATCAGTTTGTGGATCCTGATTTAGGTATTATATTAGAACCAGTAAGTATTCTGATTAAAATTAGACTACATTAGTAAATTACAAGACCTATAAAAAATTACATATTTGATTAGGAAAATGTACCACCAGACATTTATCCACATTGTCCTATTAATGATGTTCTAAATGGTATGAAAGGATCTTGTTCTAGTTATTATACTCGAGAAGATGTTACAGAAATTGTAAGAAGCCTTAACTTAGATGATGCTACTAAAAAATATGGACAAAAATTAGTTATTGTTGCATCACAATCTGCTAGAAATCATGCCTTGATGGGAGATGAAGTATCTCCAATACTTGAATTAAATGTAATACAATATTGTTTCCTAGAAAGAGTAGGAAGATCACGATATCATGGTGAAGTTACTCAAGGAAAACTTAGTCTTAATGCTTTAAAGGAGGATCCTAAAAGTTTATTTTATCACAGAAAATTTTTACTACGCCATAAGTTAATAACGAAGCAAATACATCACCAGAAAAGTGGTAGCAGTAGTTCTAATGGGAGCCTTTTACATCTCCCAAGGTTCTTTGTTGAAAGAAAACCAAAAATAATTTTCTTGGCTGAAGAAGTTATAAAAATTCTCAAGTCAAAACCTAATTGTGTTGCAGAATATGATGAAATAAAACGTAAGCTGCAAATTGAAAATGCAATAAAGAAATTATTTAAAACTTCATTTTTTCAAAAAGTTGTGAAAACAGATATTGTAAGTAATAATATTACATATTTTTCAATTTTATTTTTAATTACATGATCGTTATTTATTTTAATAATTGAAAAAAATGTTTGCATGTTTAAATAAGAGAGTACCATATAGAACTTTATATCCTAATGCACCACCAATAGAATGGCAGCAAAAGAATAATCCTGCAAAGGAGAAGAAAATTAAAGTAGTACAGCTATTACTGCCAAATATTGATATCCTTGAAGCATGGAATAAAGATGAAATACAGGACGAAGATGAGTCTCATGGTTTGTTACTATTTTTATTATCCTACAATATATCCACATGAAACGGAGTTATTATTTTACAAAGTTAAATAAATAAGTATTATTATAATTTAAAATATTTTAACAATTATTAATTAGGAATTATTGTTCATTATTTTTAAATTTTATTTTTAAAGAATACAATTTTAATTCATTTTTAATATTTTTCAAACTTTTATTTATGTTTATTCATTATGAATAATGTTTATTCTATTATGAACTATCTATTATGAACTAATATCATTTAAAAAGAATTTATATTTATAAATATATTAAAAATATAAAAATTATATTTTAGTTTGTCAAAAAATAATTTTTTATCTAATCTAAATTAAAATTTTTTTATTATATATTTTTTTTTTAGAGTTAAATATCTCAAATCATAAATATAGTATACCTTACTTGAAACAAGCAAATGCAATAATTGAAGCCAATGAAATTGATGGTGTATGCCAAGGAAGTTTGGCTAAAATAATGGGGCTAACAAAACTTCAATCACGTACAATTTTGCGAAATCTAGTTAAAACAAATATTGTTGCTACTTATATGAATGATGTTGGTAGACAAAGGGTTACAAAATTTGTATCGAAAAAATATGAAAAAGCTAGTAAATTAAGTAAACAGTTCAAGAAAGAAATACATAAAATTAAAGAGCTTACAAAACAAATTGCAATTGAAAGTGATGGTTTAGAAAAAATTAAGATGATAAAGGAGAATATTGTTATTAATAATGAAAAAGAAAGTGTGAAAAAGATATTGAAATCTGATATTGTGAGTACGGACAACTTTTTAGAAAAAAAGTCAAATACTGAAAAAGTAGAATTGCAAAAAACGTTTAATATAGTTAACCGAATATTATATAAGTATCATATAACAAAGCGTCCAAATAGATACAAATGCATTTTGTCTAGCTACTTGTCGGATAAAATTAACAAAGTTCAAATGAAAGAAGAAAATTCATATTCTAATAATATGTTACAACAAATTTCTGAATTATCAAAAAATGAAAAGGCAGTAGCAGCATATAAAAATATAAAAGTTGACATAACAGTTTTAAGATTAACAAATGAAGAAAAATCAGAAAATGGTGTGTATGGATTTATGGAAGATGTACAAAATAGTGAAAAGAAAAATGTAACAAATATTACATATAGATTATTACGAAGAGCTAATATGATTATAGAATCAGTGAAAGAACATCAAGTCATTGATGATATAACAAAATTGATGAAGGTAAAATATATTATTGGGAAATATGTATATATTACTATGTAATTAATATATTCGTTTTTTTAAAATTATTTTTATTAATCACAAAATTTAATTTTAGATAATACAAGAGGAAGAAGATAAAGAAGGATATGATGTGAAAATCGATAAAAAATCGTTACTAAGATTGTTACAAAAACTTGCGAAAGATAATTTAGTAAAACATATAAAAATAACTCTCAATGGAAATGGTAAAGAGAAACATTTAAAATTTATATGTGACCCAAATATTGATGTTAATACTGCTGTTATTCAATCAGCTGTAGAACAAGCAAAATTAAAATTCTTTTTAATGACTTCTCAAAAACTTAAATCATCCACGAAACATACAGAAAATGCAACGAAATTTGAATCTAATAAAGATATTAATGATGCTATAAATAAATCTGTAAAAGATCAATCTTCATTTCAACAATCTACAATAATACTTACAAGTTCTAAATGTGGTCCTGTAAGTATTTATTTTGCTTTTTAAATATATATATATATGTACTTTTTAATTATATGTATGTTAAACTAGTTTAATTTATATTAACTTTATTATTAATGTAAGCTTACTAGTAAGTGTATCAAGTTATTTATTACATGTTTCAACAATATAAGTATTCATTATTTTTTTTTTAATCTGTAAATTCTTTTATTTTTAGAGACTATCAAGAAAGTACGGATATAGTCCGAAATTTCTTCGTATGCAAGCATTACATATCTTTTTATTTTATTTGGTTTATGAACATCCTGGCCATCAAACTCTTTCGAAAGCGGAACAAATAAAAATTTTGCGAAATAATGATTTTAACATTACAGAAGAATTAGCAGAAGAATTCAATACAATTTATACTAAAGATGTTAGTTGGAAAATGTTTGTTCCACCTTTGCCACAATATAATGGTAAGTTATTTTTATGAATATTCTTTACTTCAGTTAATTCATTATATTTTTATTTATATTAACTTCCTATAATTAAAATTTCGTTTTGTCTTACTTTTATTTAAAAATTATTATTTATTAGGAATTTTTATTATTTATTAGAAATTTATTAGAATATTAGAAATTTTCTATTTAATTTATTCGGATTGCGGATATGAGTTTGCTACATATTAAATATAGTATTTATTTTAATTTGTAATATTTATTTTATATTCAAATTTAAAATCAGTATATAATTGATATATACTGATTTTAATATATATTTAGCAGTATAATTAATATAAGCAGTAAATTTGTAATAAAGGATTAAAAAAAGTAATAAGGAACAAAATTATGATTTTTCAGGCTGGCCTCGAGGATGGACATTAATGTGTGACATTCTTTTACGACTTCCTTTATCGATATTTTTAAAGATTCATTACATTTCATTTGTAACATCAGACATGGATAAATATATAAATCATCCTATTCGAAAACATTATTTAGTTAGAGATTTACCAGTTGATATTCGAAATTCTTTGCTTTATGCACGAAAGTACATATTTCATATTCATGAAACTGTAACAAGATTATGTTACATTGGGTTAACACAATTTGGTCCACAAAAATTAAAAGAGAAGGATCAAGTATTTATTTACGTGAATCGTCGTAGTGAATTAATGGATACGACATCTTCTGCTCCTGGTTATCACATAATTGAAGATAAATCTTACCCCATAATTAAATATAACTTTGACGAAATTCAGATAGTTGAGAAGTACTGGTATGATATGTGGAATAC